AATGCATGGCAGCGCAACAGAATCGCAGCCAATCAAAACACATTTGATGATTAATATACAGTTAAACGGAGAAGGATTTGGACCAATGAGATTTACTTTGAACAGATTAAATATACATAAATCTCTCTGTGCAGCAGCTGTGTTTCATCTGATATTATTATATTAATATTTAGCTATGAAGACTGCATTGGCTTTGGTGGTGGCTAATGAACATCTCTAATGAGCTCGCATAGCTCGCATATCATTTTTCCTCTATTCCCATTATCCCATTTCCCCACAGGTCCTGTAACTGGTGTTACGTTAGGAAAGCTGCCAGACCTGTAACAGGAGCTCCATTATCAGTTATTTTGCTCCCACTCTTCTTCCATTTCCAGGAAATCTTGACTTATATTTTCTTCTTGTCTCCTCAGATGCCGTTAATATTATTTCACTGGAGAGCGTGAACAATTATTACAGGTCTGTACACATATTACAAATGCAGAACACAATGGCTATAAAGTTACAAGAAGGTTCCGATATTAAAGTCGACATTTTGTCTTGTTTATCTCCATTCCTGAATACTTAGGAAATACTCTGCCAATCAGAAAGTTGGATCCTTCCACTACATACACAGAACTCCTTTTGGGAACTACTCTTTCATTTGTGCCGATGCCACTCTGACCCCTGGACCCAAACGGCCCTATAACTTCTTTGGAATTATCAATCAGGTAGGAGAGATTATTTTAGCTTTGCTTATGTAAATGTGATGACAACTTTTCTCTTTGGCTGAAATGTGATGTTCTCCATAGACTCAGAGTGACATGTTGGCGACCTTTGGTGAGGAGAGTCTGAACAGTAACAAGTCCATCTGGTTTGGACATTATACCACATCTACTGTCATCTCCCCCTTCCCTGGAATCCGAGAGCTCATGAGGTTTGGAAAAATCTTGCTGTGACCGTCAACCAATCTGAAATTTTCCCCCACTGACTGCCAATAACAGCCCACTTAGACAGGAAGAGAGCATGTGACCAGCATATAAAGTGACCAGCAACTGTTCTGTTAGGGGTTGGTTTATCTGAAATTAGATTACATTACAATAAAGGACCAGCATGAAAAAAATTATTAAATAACAGTGCCAAATTTCTAGATATGACTATACTGAAAACATTAGAAAACAACTTAAAATATATTTAGAGTTTGTACAGTTTAGTCCATATAAAAATTATAATACAATAATATAAATTATGTATTAAAAAATTATTTAAATTAAGACTACTTTTCAAAAGATTTTTAACTGTTATACTAATATATTTTAACATTTTTCTGTGATGTAAAAGCTGAATTTTCAGCATCATTTCTTCAGTGTCACATGATCCTTCAGAAATCATTCTAATATACTGATTTGACACTCAAAAACATTTCTTATTAAAAGCTGCTTCATATTTTTTTATATTCTACTGATATATTCTTTGATACATTCCAAAGAACAGCATTTTTTGAGGTAGCAATCATTTGAAACAATGTAAAAGTCTTTACAGTCACTGTTGATCAATTTAATGCATCCTTCATGAATGTATTAATTTCTTCTTAAAAAAATAAAAAATTTGAACGCTGGTATAGATCAATATAATTAAAACATTTTAATTACAGCATCAAGTCTCTACAAACGATTGTAATGAAAACACAAGAAAAACTAAAATAGACTTCGTGATATATACAGGAGGCTTTTATTTCTGTCCGTACAAAAAAATTTAAATTATTTCACATACGTAATTAAAAAAATGTGTGTGTATGTATATATATATATATATATATATATATATATATATATATGTGTGTATGTATGTATATATTTGCTACTAACTTTTTTATTAATTTATAAATTTTTTATAAAAAATTTTTTTTTTTCAAATATTTAATTTTATGAACCTGTTAAACTTTCCAGGGTTTATTTAAACCTTGTAGCCACTAGTTTCTTTGTGATTAAAGCAAAAAAACTCTCACCTCACCTCTATGTTGCAAATTAGGAAAAGGACTTACAATTTTTGTGTGCAATATGAATCAGAATCAGTTAGTGACCTGTGGATGGCCTGTGACTGCGCCATTTCTCACCTGTTCTCCATTTGGGCCACTTTTCAAATGTCATTCTAAATCCGATGTCTATTTGGCCATCTGACCTACATCTAAACCCTAGAACATGATTGTCTAGCATGAATTCTGGTCTGAAACACTGTAATAATGTCATATTCAGTGCTGTTAAACACTTGTAGGGAATAATGCTAAAGAGCTAACAAGAGGCATTAGATTGTGTCTTATAATATTCATCACATTCTGCTGAATCTCACATTTTATCCATTGTTTTTTACAGTACAGCCGTGGCGTATTTGTGTGGGCACCTACATACACTAGGAGACTTCATGCCGGTACTGCACAGTCGACATCAAGGAGGCACGCTGGAGTTAGAGCTGGGAGACTGGATGGACAACCGCAGGTAAGTTCACAAAGAACGAGGCCCACGCTCAAGGGAATGCTGCATGATGTAAATATAGCTGACTATGTTAGCAAATACAAGAACAACAGCTGATATACGAGGAAGACATAGCGTTGTGCCTTAGCTCTTATAAAAATGCAGTGACACAAAGTTCTCCCTTGGTTCAGGTACAGGATATTGGCTTTCGACCATGACCTGCTTAGTTTCACTGACGTGACGTTTGAGGACTGGCCAGCTGTGTTGATCACCAATCCCAAAGACGCCCAGTACCTGCACCCAGGAGTGGAGCCTCTGGGTCGTATCGGCAGTTCCACGCACATCAGGTGTCTCTGTGTGTGTCCTCTTGAAAATTCACGCTCTCAGACGTTGACTTATGAAACATTATCGTCTCTCATCCAAACCTCACGTTTATGTTTATTCTCTGCGTGCTTGTCTTGTTCGGTCCTACGAAGAATGTCATAGTTTGAGATTGCTCAATGTGCCGTGTGTCGCTTCTATAGGCTCCTGGCTTTCTCTGAATCGCCAATCACAGCTGTGCATGTGAATGTGGATGGAGTTTCACTGGGAAAAGCGTTTAACGCAGGGGGTCCTTTATACGTGCTGAAATGGGACCCAACGCTATACAATACTGGACTGCACACTATCAGAGTTAAAGTGGAGGTAGGCAACGATTTGAACTAACCCAGATTTCTAGTATTAAACTCGTCACTCATCACTCGTTCCTCAAATCATGTGGCTTATTTAGAAGAGGTGTGCTGTTGCTTCTCTAAACAGTTGGTCAAACAAATTCTGCCCGGTCCTTTAGACTTTATAAGAGTAATATCTGGAGACTAGAATATTATAGAGATGGACTTCAGCAACCAACCAGAAAACACAGAACAACAGCATGCCATGTCAACCACTCAGAAAACCTTAGCAACCGCAAAGTAAAACTCTCCAGAACAGCCTAGGAACCACAAAGCAACGTGGCTAAACCACTCAGAACCTTAGCAACCGCATAGCAATTGTTTATTTAAATATATAGAAATTGTTGTATTGTTACTTTAAGAAAATGGCACAGTGTGAGCTTTTCTCACTTGTTCTCTGTCTCCCTGTCCCAGGACTCTGCAGGTCGCTCAAAAGTGCAAGAGCAGCAATTCACACTGGAGGAAGGCCTCACTCCCAGCTTCGGCTTCATGCAGTCCTTCATCCTCCTTACAGACCACTACATTCTGGTACAAAAATTAAACCAAGTCATCGTGTGGTGATGAAAAATTGATCTCGCAATAAATATTGAAATGGCTGTTTACTTCACTCTTCAGTTAGGGATAGGGGATAAAATGTGGGTATAAGGGATAAAATGAAAATTCTGAAAAAGTTTATAGTTAATAGTTTAATGTTAATGAATATCATATGCATCTCAATGACTGTGTGCGTCTTCCCACAGGCACGGATTGCCTTTGTGGGCATAGTATTACTAAACCTTGCTGGGCTTGTGCTCTTCAGATTTATGCCTGTATCTTCTACAAGAGGTATTTCTGTTGTCCTGTCATTATAACTGAATATAAATGGTCTTCATGAGCATAATTGACACTTAACACTATATACTCTTATAATCCATCAGGATTGTCTTCTCAAGCGTGGACATCTCTGCATATTGTTAGTAAAAGCAACACGTTCTTCTATTCTCTGCTGCTGTTCAACCTGTGTACAGCATTAGGTAAGTCACCGCCTGACACCACTTGAACAGTTTCACAAATTGATGGAAGATAATGACTTTAACTACCACTGCAGAAGGCCTGTAATCTTTTTTTTTTTTTTTAATACAGAGTATTTTTTTTCCCATCTGACTATTCAGAAGAGAGAAAGAGGGATAATAACACAATTATTATATTATAGATAATTGCCTCTTAGTTTTTATGAATGCCCATAACCAACCCTTGAATTTAAGGCTGCATAGGTAATCTAATAAAATTATAAACTAAAAATAAAATAGTGAAAGTGCCAATTACAGTATTCAGTACAGGTCAACTTATGTTGCAGCAAAATATGCATATTTACAGCTTTTTTTTTTTTGAGCTTTGTAACTAATAACAGACATGAGAGCAATGGTTAAGCAGGAATGTTAAATTAGTCTATATACCAATCGATATCCTCAACCAGTCTAAATGAGCGAGTTTTAATCCTCATGTTCGGTCCGGGTCATTTTTGAGCAAAAAGAACATTTTAAAACAGTTTTTTTTATATGCCTTTGATATGCCTAAGACTATTATGAAAACATCTAGATAAACAAATACCAATTTTCATGTACAAAATCCATAGAAGAGTCTGAAGTAGGGCTGTAACTAACGATTATTTTGGTAATTGAGTAATCTGTCAATTATTTTGACTTTTAATCGAGTAATCAGATAATTATTCGATTTTTTTTTGTAGTAATAAAAATAGACCTAAGTTAACAATAGCTTTTAAAATTTTTTTAAATACATAATAGCAATGAGGCAATAATATTTAGTTCAAATAAAGTATCAAAGGCAAGTAATAATATGGTTTTATTGAACAAAACTGTTAAAATACATAATGTATTATAAACAAAAGAGCTAACGTACATTACGCATTATAAAAAATGACTACAGAGGGCACCAACGGCCTGACGATTGTTTTTACACTTTACTGCGTGATCTAAACCTTGTTTAATGTTGACTAAGCAATATTTAATTCAAGTGTCCCCTTAATCTTTAATATTTGACCATTTCTTTACTGCAGAAATGCTTTATTTTGCAATCGCGATTGACAGTTAGCATATTGAGAAAGATAGTGATGTATTCTCCTGTGTTTGCATAGGTTTATAAATTATTTACCTTACAAATCTGAGGAAATGGCACACATTGTGTTCCCAGAGGAACGTTATAATAAACCCAAACTCACAACAATATGTGCAGAGATGGAGTTTGAGACGCTCCACACATGTAAATGTTAACAGTTTGTGTGGAGCAGCATTTACTGCGATCGGAGCCGCTCCGAGACGCATGGACGTGACCTACAGTACACGTGTGTAAATAATTAAAGCACATATTAAACCTGCATCACATATATTTATTGAATTAAATCCCAGTGCTTGTTAATTCACAATAACATTATGCTTTATGATTTTTAAATGGGTTTAATATATCATGGAGTCTTGGAAAATGGTCTAATAATGCGTTTTATGGATTCACCTCCGGGGAATGTGCCACTTCTGGTATTTTGCCAGGTAGTTGACACGGTCAAAATGCAGTCAAGGAATTTTTGTATATTGAGTACTTGAATTGAATCGAGGAATCGTGACAGCCCAGGCCTAGTCTGAAGTTACATTCAACTCTATAGGAGTCATTCACAATAGATCGTTCACCCAAATGAAAATTTAGCTGAAAATTTACTCATCCTCATGTTGTCACATTCTAAACGTATATTTATCATAACTAATTGCTCTGTGGAACACAAAAATAGATTTAAAAAAATGGGGGCCATTGATTTTCTTCAAAATATCTTCGTGTTCCACCGAATAAAGAATGTCATACAGGTTTGGAATGACATGAGGGTGAGTAAATTATGACACTGACAGAAACAGAATTTAAGGTGTCACTTTTGTTGTGACACTCACAAGGTTACAATCCGAAATGAATAATCATGATTACAATATCAAGGGAAATTGCAATTCCTTGCAATTACTGTGAAGTAAGAACAGTGCATTTTATCTTCTGGTTTTTCAGGTCCATGGTTCATTGGGGAAGTCATTGATGGACACAATGGAGCCTGCTTTGCTTTTGGCGTGTTTGTGGATGGCCATTTCCTTGAAGGCAGTCTTACCTATGTCCTGGGAGTCATACAGGTAATTCAAGATCTAGGTGCAGATCATACTTATCGTAACGGCCAAGTTGTAACATGCCGTCTGTCATCCACAGGTGCTATTCTTCAATATGCCTCTCACTTATTACCTCTGCTGGAGTCTTCACCACAGGTGTCGCGGCACCAGCTTCCGCTCGCATTTCTGTCGGCCGGGCAGCCGCTGGATGACTCTGGCGATGCACATAGGCATGCTGGTCCTCATGATCTGGCAGGCCTATTCTTGCTACTTCCTGCTGGAGACCTACGGGCTGCTGGCATTCTTCCTCTCTCCCGTACGTAGCTGGGGCCTGCTCATGGGTCTGCTGTTGGTGTACAGGGCATGGTGGGGAACACCTCCTAACTTCTCCGGTGGCAGCAAGACCAACCGGCCATCGTGACGGTGACAGTTGAAGAGAGGCCTTCACCTGCATCGTTGTTTTGTGCCAGGCTCTTCCCTCCATTCACCGCTGTCTTCACGGTCACCGGATTGCCAATCCTTGCCATTACACATTAGGATAGAGAAAATATAGTCTTTAGTTAATATGGAGCGATGATGGCATCACACGTGGATGACGGAGCCATTTCAAACCTGGTTCTGATCCTCCTTTGACACTAAGACACGTTGGTAGTTTTTTATAGCCAGTTCCCGCCATTGTGAACCCAAGCAGTGTTGAAGTCCAGATGTGTGTGGTTATGCATACCTATTACTTTGATAAACTGCGCATTATGTACAGTACTCGTCCAATTATATTTGTGAGAAGCAATCAAGAAAGGAATAAGATTGCCTGATATTCTTAATGTTTCTGCATGAAACTGCCACCGATCAGTCAATATGCGTACTCATATTGTTTTAATGCATATAAACTACACTGTAAAGAGGGGATTATATCATTTTTACACCTGTAGACAAGGTATAATACGTGAAGGATAATTTAAGGGATGAAGCCAGTCATTATTGGCTATAAATTATTTTATTCACCAATGAAAGTAGTTCCAAAAGAAGCCAAAGCATCCAGCTTTGCATGTCACCAAACAACACACAGATTTAAACTGTGTATGGAACACTGCTCAGCCAATCAGATTAGACCAGGGGTGTCCAATCCTGCTCTTGGAGGGCCAATATCCGTTTTGCTCTAGGGCTGTCACTAACGATTATTTTGGTAATCAAGTAATCGGTCGATTATTCTGACGATTAATCGAGTAATCGGATTATTGTAATTCATTTTTAGACCTAAGCGAACAATAGCCTTTAAAATGACTTAAAATATATATATATATATATATATACACTAGTCAACATTTGAAGTGGATCAAAACCTTCAAAGTTTTCAATCAACAATCAAAGTTGTCCTAAAACCTAAAAGCAAAATGTGTTCTTGTCTTAGGACAGCTTTGAACTTTTTTTGATCCACTTCAAATGTTGACTACTATATAATAGCAATGAGACAATAATATTTAGTTCAAATAAAGTATCAAACGCAAGTAATCATATGGTTTTCTTGAACAAAACTGTTAAAATGCATAATGTATTATAAAGGAGCTAAACATACATTACGCGTTATAACAAATGTGAACCCAAATATTGGTCAAAACATCTCACTCACATATTGACCAAACATTTAATTCAAAGGTCCACTTAATCTTATTTTGGCCATTTCTTTACGACAGAAATGCTCCAACAATTTCTTGAATATGTGGACATCAAATCTCAGAATAAGGGTTTAAACTTTTATTTTGAAATTGTGATTGACCGTTAGCATATTGAGAAAGATGTATTCTCCAGTGTTTGCGTAAGTTTATAAATGATTTACCTTACAAATCTGACGAAATGGTGCACATTGCATTCCCAGATGAACGTTATAATAAACCCAAACTCACACGCATGTAAATGATAACAGTTCGTGTTAGGGCTGGACGATATGGCCAAAATTTATATCACGATATATTTCTTAATTTCGGTCGATACGATAAAATTCCGATATCGATATGAACACTATCAAAAAAGCCTCATAAAAACGGCCAAGAACGGCCACAACAGATGTCTGTACCTACAAACTTACGAAAAATTTATTTGCCAACTCTATGAAACCTACTCCTGTAAAACTATATAATATTTTAGGAAATAAATAAATGTTCACCTTTTATTGGTATTTAGCCTTCATACAAACAAGAAATGTGAAATCACTGTCAAATAAATATCATACTCTCCTTATTAATATTAATATTTTTTACTTCAAACTATAGGCTAACATACCAGTCAAAAGTTTTTGAACAGTAAGATTTTTTATGTTTTTTAAAGAATTCTCTTCTGCTCACCAAGCCTGCATTTATTTGATCCAAAATACAGCAAAAAC